AAAAGCACTGGAGAGCTGGGACATGCCTGTGAGCACGTCCAGCACAGATATCCTGGTTAAAGTACAAGGACACAGAGTGTACTACGTGCCTGTAAGCATGGCGTGTCTAACAGCTACGTAGGACAGGGCTTCACAAAGTTATTAGCACACTTATTTTTTAACAAAAAAGGGAACTTTAAAAAGGAACTTTTCTACTTCCCACTCAAGGGTAGTCTTAAACTCCTGGCCCCAAGCAATCCTCCCGCCTTGGCCTCCCAAAGTGCTGGGATCACAGGCGTGAGCCAACGTGCCCAGCCTCAAGAGCATTTTCATCTTCTTGTTCTCACAGTGTGTCCCCTTGGATTCCTTTTCTGGAAGGCTCAGCTCTCCCAGAAGCAAAGCCTGGACGCAGGGCCTCTGTGGGGCTTTTTTTTTTTTTTTGAGACAGAGTCTGCCCAGGCTGGAGTGCAGTGACGCGATCTTGGTTCACTGCAACCTCCGCCGCCCGGGTTCAAGTGATTCTCCTGCCTCAGCCTCCCGAGTAGCTGGGATTACAGGTGTGCACCACCATGCCCAGCTAATTTTTATATTTTTAGTAGAGACATGATTTTACCATCTTGGCCAGGCTGGTCTCAAACTCCTGACCTCAGGTGATCCTCCAGCCTCGGTCTCCCAAAGTGCTGGGATTACATGTGTGAGCCACCGTGACCGGCCTAGTTTTGCTAATTTTGTGAAGAACAGTGTCATCTGAGGGCACTGACTCGCCACTCAGATTCTGACTCTGACTCAGCTGCCTGGCTGTGCCTCAGTTTCTTTTCCTGTAAAATGGAAATATAATGGCGACCCCACCTCCTAGGCGTCTTGTGAGTGTAAAGCCAGGCATGGGGACAGGTGTCTTGAACTCCTGGACTCATGCAATCCTCCCACCTCTGCCTCCCTAAGAGCTGGGGTTATAGGTGTGAGTCACCATGCCTGGCCAGTTTCGTTTTCTTTAAAGAGATAGGGCTGGGTGCGGTGGCTCACGCCTGTAATCCCAGCATGTTGGGAGGCTGAGGCCAGTGGATCACTTGAGGCTGGGAGTTTGAGAGCATCCTGGGCAACAGAACAACACCCTGTCTGTACAAGAGAAAGAACAAAAAGAAAAAGAAAAGAAAAACAAGAAAGGTCAAACTCCATGAAAATAGAGACGTGGGCCAGGCGCGGTGGCTCATGCCTGTAATCCCAGCACTTTGGGAGGCCGAGGTGGGTGGATCACCTGAGGTCAGGAGTTCAAGACCATCATAGTGAAACCCCATCTTTTA